ATTAATAATATAAATAACTATTTATATTATAAAAAAAAAATCCATTTTTGTATGATTTGATAGTATTTAGTCTGTAGTTTTTAAGTAAATATATAATTCTATTTTTTTGAAGTTTATAACTATTTTTATTGAATTAAAAAAATTATTTAAATGTAGATGTTAAATAAATTTTTTGAGTAAAACAGGTTCAGTAATTTGAGATAGGTTATATTGATTTAAGAATTTAGTATGATATGTGTTTATCTTAGTAGAAAATGAAGTATTAGAGATAGAGATAGTATTTGTAATGTCTTCTACAGAGTTGCTCACCATTTTAAGCTCAAGTTGCACAACTATAGAGGGTACCATAACCTGCCCAGTATATTGGGTCTAGTCAATATAATTCTGGTTTTTCATTACAATAGGCTTTACTGCCTGACTACTGTTATTATTCTCTTCTAAGAATGATCTACTAATAGTAAAGAATATTATAATTTTAGAAGTAGTAGTTGCAATATATATTATTATAAATATATATTTTTAAAATATAAATATAATTGTAAAACAATTTAATTATATATAGTTAAGTCAATAAAAATTTAATAAAATTTTAAATAAAAATAATAATAAATCTTAATAAAATTAATAATTTTTTTAAATAATTACTATAAAATTATGAAATTTATTTAATAAAAATTTTAATAAATTTAATTAAAATTTAATTAAATTATTTTTTATTTAAAATTTTAAAAAAAATTATATTAAAAAAAATTTACTTAATTTTTATTAACTTAATTTTATATAAAAAAATTTTATTAATATCTACTTTTTTTGAATATTAAATTATATATTTTTTTTAATATTAAGATGAGTATTTATTCATATCTTTATTAATAATTTTAAATATATAATTTAGTACAAAAGTGCTAAAATAAACTAAGATTTTTTACTAAAATAAAAATTGTATATAATAATAAGAATTTAGACTAGTTTATCTGTAATCTAAACTAATATTAAACTATATATAAAAAATAAAAAATTAATAATTATATAATTGCTTTAATTATTTTTTATTTTTAACTTTAAAACAAATTTTTTATCTTTTAGTAATTTTATTATATTTTTTTAATTTTATTATATTTTTTTAATTTTATTATCTTTTATTAATTTTCTAATTTTATTTAATTTTGTCAGTCTTATTAGTTTTACTAGTTTTGTCAATTTTACTAATTTTGCCAATTTTGATATTTTGCTATTTTAAATTTTTTTTTGGTAAAACCTCTAAGTTTTGTCTAATAATACTAGTTATGTTTTTAACAGTTTCACTATTTCATCCTTTTAATTTTTTTTTTAACAAAAGTCAAAACTAGATTTTGTCTAATAACTGTATTTGAAAGGATTGCATATATTACTTTCAAATTTATGAATAACATAAATAAATTAGAGAATTTTTATTTGTATCTATAGGTATATATCCAGTATATAAGAAAACTTAAAAAATTATTAATATTTCAAAATTTTGTTAAGAATACTATATGTAGATATATTAAATAAAAATGTTCAGTATCTAATTTTATATATAAATAGATCTTTAATTTTAATCATAACCATAATCTTATTATCTTTAAAGGTTGTATTTTTTTTATATACTTGAATATATACCTGACAAGTATAATTAGTTATTTAATAATTAACATAATTGAAAAATAATGTAGAATAATATTAAACTAAATAATAGTAATATAATACCAATGAAGTACTTATGTTTGCAAAAGTATACATTTTAAGAATACATTATCAGCACTGTTAAATTGCTTATTTTTAGCAAGTCCAATTTTGATAAGTATTTCTATATCAAGAAAATCCTAAACTGCTAGCCAAAACTAATATAGATTGTACTATCTAAAAAATTTCTTATATAACTAACTTTAAAATTATAAATTTCATGCTGAAAACTTTTACTTAGAGGTCAGAAGTTAGTTATTATAGTACATTTTTGTAATATTTATATTTTTTACAATTTTTTATGTTTGTTTTATTACACAAAATCCTGTGATTTTATTTGATCTAGATAGGGTCAAGTGATCTTCAACCAAGATTTTCTTGATATAAGAGTATCAAATTTGCCAAATTTTTGCAAAATAATGTTGTAAGATAGTTAAAGTAATGATACAAATCAAAATTGAAATTAATCAATTAGTTGAGTAGTTGACAACTAATCAACAAAACTTTTTAAATACTAACTAATTGATTAATTGACCAATCAATTAGTTGCAACTAGAAATAGGCAAATCATAGTTTTTCAAAAAATCTTGCACAAGATTCATTAAATCTAACCATCACATAATTGAACCTCAATTTAGATTTTCCAATGACTGTGATCAACAAATTTTGACCAAAATTTACTTTTTCATTTATTTAAGTTTTGAATCTGTGATGATAAAATTAACCCAGAAACATATTTCACTTAGAGTTGAAAATTACATTTTACAAATTTATAATTTATGTAATTTCACAGAATATATAATACCTAGAGATGGGCAAATCATGGTTTTTTCAAAAATTTCATGCAAGATTCATTAAGCCACAAAATTTTAAACCCCAATTTCACTTAATAAGCAACTACGATTTCTTTACTAAAAATTTGAATAATTTTACTTAAATTTTTTGTTGTTGCTGTTAGTAATCAAAATAGTAAATTTTCACATTTTTTTTGCAAAGTTTAATAGCAGTAATTACATTAAGCATGTCCTTGGTTAAAGGTTTCATCTGATCCAATTTTTGTAAAATGATTCCAAATATTATTATTACTATGCATGTAATTTATTTTTAAAAGAGCAACTTAATCATAAAGAATATTTTTATAATGTAAGCGAAAGATACCAACGGCAAAGAAGGTAAATTCTTACTATATATATAAATAAACATATGTGTGAAATGATATGCAAATAAATAAATAAATTTTAATTAGGAATTAGCTAAATATGTTAATGCAGGTCAGATGCTAGCCAGATATTATGGTAATGCTGGCCGAATAATCTTATTTCGGGATCATATTAAAAATCCCACGCAGGATCACGTGCGTGCCCATCTCTAGTTGCAACTAATCGACTAAAGAATTGAATGATTAGTTGCAAAGAATCGATTGAGACATTATTTATTTACTTAATGAATTAATCGATTAATCTATTAATCAACCAGCTACAACTAATCGATTGGAAAAATTTTCCCGATTTGTAACACTTTTGTCACTCATCGAGGAGGTGCTGTGCCAAGACACTAAAATACATAAAGAAAATGAAACACATTTACGGGTATTTTGTCTCTGCTGCTTCATGCACACTTCCTAAATTAACGCAGAATTTAAGACATCGTCAAAGTGTAAGTGAGCACAAAACACATGAAAAACCCCACTAAGGGCAAAATAAAGTGCAACTAGCGTGCCACAAAGGTGTACTCATGTGCAATGCCAATCAGATTGCGGATTTCTTCGTGATAGGCCACTTAGACTATATTGACTGTCGTCCAACAAACCAATTCTGAACCTATGAAAAACAGATCTGAAAAGTAAGGCTCACCAACAAACTTACCAACCGCATCTGTTCAAGCCCGTAAGGGTGGGAAAGGGCGGGACGAAAGAACCGGACAAAGTCGGGTTAGCAGAAAAAACAGAAATTATCTTGTCTGGGGAAAACCCCGTTCCCTTTAAATATTCCCTTACGCTTACAAATCGAAAAACTACGTAATTACGTCGTTACCACATAAACTCTAACGACGTAATTACGTTGCCACTATAACTAACTCTAACGATCACCCCATCGAAAATATTACGTAATTATGTAACCATACGATAGACTCCAACAATTACACATAAAAATACTACTAAATTTCAAATCGAAAATACTACGTCATTTTAACAACCCTTTGCATACTACGCCCCTACGGATCAAGCAATAAATCATGATAATATAATGATTCCCCTATTAAACAAGCAATAAATCATGATGATATAATCATTCGATCAATTAATTTGCACTCAGTGTTCGATTTGAGACAAAATGCTGCTCCGATACTTTCGTATCGGGCAGCCAATAGGCTAAGGCAGCCGTGGCTAAGCCGGCTAAGCCAGTCGGTATAAAATATTCGGCCGGCTAGATGGACATAGAATATTTTGGTAGGATGGCTTAGCTAGCCAATTAAAGCCATTCGGCTTATAACACTATGCAGATCTTTTTGTCAAAAATTGCTTATTTCTTAAAAAATTACGTACAAAACCACTTTTATCGCTCTAGCAAAAAGTTTTTCTTGAGCGATTATACTATAAACTCTTCTAGTTTTATCTTTATTTTAAACTCAAACTTTATCATTAATGAACTTTAATGAACTTTAAAACATTTTGCTGCGCAAATGATCGACAGAACCTGGCACAGAATTTTTTCAAATATGTGAATCTGCCCGTTTTAAGGGACATCTTTTTTTGGCCATTTTTTTCAGCCAGATTATTATCAAATATCAAATTCAAATTGGAAAACCGATCTTAAGAACGTCATCCGTGCTAATTTATACTATGTAGTGCAATAATTGTAGCTATAATTTACATATAAAATATAAAAATTACTTGGTAATTCAAAAATTTTTGTTTTCTATAATTACAATATTTATTTGACAATCGAAATTTTTTTTGATCGCATTGAGCTGTCCTGTTACAGCAGTTTCAGAAGACTTTTTCTATAATTAGAGTTCCAATCCGGATAAATCTGTCATCCATTTAACCATATCTGAATTTATCCGGATATTCATCTATGCGGATATCAATAGTAAAACGGTATCCGATAGATAAATGGATAAACGGATAGTGGACAGGAACCCTATCTACAATCATTTCATATTTGTAAAACATGCTGAATTTACTAATTTTCACTACCACTTCTGATTGGCTTTACCAATTATTCACATATTGAAGTAACATTGTTATTAATCAATTTTATAATTCTCCGGTGGGGAAATTAGGGCACCCAAACATGCTAAGGTTCCAGTAAAGAATAGACTATAAAACTTAAATTCTAAAAAAAAAAGCAAGCAAAACTTATAGAAAAATAGTGATAAAGTATTACTAAATGCAAACGATTGCAGAATTAATGAACCGACCGATCTAAATCCGATTAGTGACGCATTTGTTTTGAAGTTTGCGACCTATAAATTCTGTGTAATGATAATCAATCATTAAGCAATTATTAGTAGATTGGTTACCCTAATATTTTAATATGAATTTTCTTTATAACATTCTTATTTTTGTCATATTTGTCTCACTATGTTGTTTTGTTACTTGTCAGACTATTCCTAGCGCTAGAAGCAGGCACGCTAGCTCATTAGTTGATACTAAGCTTTATTTCTTTAGCGGTTTATTTACACCTACTTATATATCTAATGAAGTTTGGTACCTTGACTTATCAAATTCATTTAACATAACTACTCCACCATGGCACAGCGATAATGGAATGCCAATAGGAGATATTTATGGTAGTTCATGTCTTAGTCCTATAGATAATTCAACTGTTTTTTTAGTTGGTGGAAGGACATTTATTCCAAATACCGCAAATCCTATAAATACATCATCTGTATACGCATTTAATTCTAAGACTTCACAATGGACAACACCAAATATTATTAATTTTAATGCTAGCTTCACAAGACGTGATGAAAACCAAGCTGTTATTGATAACACCGGGAAGATTTTTGTTTTTGGGGGAATATATTCTCTCAGTTCAACTTGGTATAATGACATGAATATACTTGATATAACTACTATGAGTTGGTCGACTCAAGTTCAGCCCTTGTTCACTCTTTACGCCGATTATACTTCTATATTATTACAAAATGGACTTATTATTTACATTGGTGGCCGCGAAGGTTCAAATATAAACATGGCTAGTATGAATCAGGTATGATCTAGCTAATAATATTTTTTCAATATTTAAGCTTTGCCTTCACTTTAATATTTTATTTAATACCAATTGTAGCTTCGAACATTTGATACAAAATCCTACGCATGGTCTACTAGAGTAATGTATATAATTAATTAATTATTCTTCTTGCACTAGTTATTAAAACTAATTTTATTTGTTCTTATTAGACTGCTAGTGGTTCTACTGTCTTATCTCGTGTCGGTCATTCTACAGTTTTAAGTAAGCTGAACATAGTAGTATCAATGCAAATTATAAATTTATATTTTTACTAAACATTATTTATTTTTGACAGCCCAGGACGGAAATATTATTCTATATGGTGGCGGACTGTTCAATAGTAATGGCTCTCTCGTTACTATATTTTCAGATATCGCAGTATTAAATACTAATACTTGGTTGTGGTCTATTCCAAGCGTTTCTGGTGCAAATGCTCCTTCATCGCTCGCATTCCATTCTGCTGCACTATACAATAATTATATGATTATTGCATTTGGTAATTTACCTTTTTTGTAATTAGTTTATTTATTATAGCTATTAAATTTATTAAATTTATTTGACCATCACATCTTCAGGCCAAATTACAACTTCGACGGTATATACTAATAATATTTACATTATGGACACACGAAATTACACCTGGGTTACTTCTGTAAATCAAGATATACTTTCAACAACTACCTCATCTAAACTACCTACTACAACGCAACAAAATAATGATAGTTTATATATTGGAATTGGTATTGGTGTGGGTGGAATTATTTTAGTTGGATTATTGGTGGCTGCTGGATTTTTCTTTTATAAAAAACGAGGTAACAACATGAATGTTATTGAAACACCAGGATCCGACATGTATGAAAATAAGGTTTATGTCTAGATATGTGCATTGTACTTGATGATTAATGTATATTTATTCTGAACATGTTATGGTGTCTTGAAATTTTTAATCTACGATGTAATTAACATAACGATACACTTGCAAAAATCATTCAACTTCGAAATATGCAATTATTTGTCAATAATTAGCATCAATTAGTACAATACAATCATTTAAAATCAATAAATAATTTAAAAGTTTGTCTTAGATTTTTAAAATATTAATAATTAAATGTTAGTAATAATTCGAACTTAAAAAAATTAGAATATTAAATGCGGTAAATGATCGATTTATTAACTTTGCAAATTCTGATAATTTCGATATATGCAATAATTTGCCAATAATAAGCAATATAAAGTACACATTAGTACTAATTTAGCAATTTGAATAATTTATTACAAGATTATTTCATCATCAGCGCTTTTAAATACCTAATAAATTGGTTAAATTATGGTAATTTTCAGGCCAAATATTGATAATATATTGCTAATAATGGCATTTTATTAGCATAATAATTGACAAATATAATTATAAAATCAAATGATAGTAATGAAATGCTAATAAAGTACTTAGATTTGCAAAAGTTATAATTTTAATAGTACATTATCAGCACCGTTAAATTGCTTATTTTTAACAAGTTCAATTTAGATCGATTTTTGCAATGCACTTTACAAAAAAGTGTTAAAATTTGATTTGCTAAAATAAGCCACTCAACAGTGCTAAAAATGTGTTACTAAATACAAAATATTTGTAAAATAAGTATTTTTTGGTATTTTATTTTCACAATTTAATCTTTTAAATATATTTACCAATTATTATAACAATGAACTGCTAATATTATCAATATGTTTGCAATAAATTAGTACAAATAAAAGTTTAAAAATTTCTAATATTTTAACTAAAATTTTAAGTAGTTAATTGTACTAATTATGAAGCAATTTTGTAATAAATTATTATGATTAATTTAGTATCAATAATATGCTTTTTATTACTTATATTTGACTAATTATTGTAAATTTAAATTTTAAAATTTGCAAAGATATCTAATATATATCAGATTTACCAAATGTAAAGAATCTATCACAAAAAGTAATCTAGCTTTTTACAACTACAAATGTAACCCAAACTATTTAAAACATTTTAATTAGTTTGTATTACAACATTATATACAATAAACATCAATTGTATCTTTGCAAAAATTTATCCAAATAGAACTTGCTAAAAATAAGCAATTTAACAGTACTAATAATATACTATTACTAGGATATCAGAAGCTAATAAATGTTCAAAACAAAAATATTAATTAAAAAATTAAATTTTAATTTTAAAAAAATAAAAATATTAAATTATATATTCAAAATTTTAATTTTTTATAATAAATCAAATTAATATATATAACTTATTATTACAACTAAAGTTAAAAATATTTAAAACTATAAATTGAAAATTTTAATATAATTTACTTATATTTTTTTATTATCAAAACTAAACATCAAATCTAACTAAAAATCAACAAAAATTTTAAAAATTTTATATTAAAATAATTAAAATTTTTAGCTTTGATAATAATTTAAAATTTTAATTTTTTATCACTTAAAATGTAAACTAATACAGGCAAATTTGTTTGCAACTTTGTATTTTTTTAGTTCTAATTTATTTTTTTAAAATGCTAATATATTAAATAAAATTTGCTATAATAATATTTGAAAATAAGAATTACTATTTTGCAGTATTTATTTTAAATTATAAGAAAAAATTTAGATTACTTATAGATCAAAAATATACAATTTTAAAAAAATTTTAATAAAAAAAAATATATTTAGTTTATCTATGATAAATTTTTTAAATATTAATTTTAGAACTATAGTTTTAATACAACTTTTTAGTTTATATTAAAGATTACAATTTTAATTATTACAAATTTAGTAATTTATATATAAAAATTAATACTTGTAATAAAAACAAAAATTTTTTAGTTTCAGAAATATATAAAATTTTAGAAAGTTTAAAAATTATTTTAATAATAAACTCTAATATTATACAATCTTTATACTTTAATAAATTAAAAATTTTTTAATAAAATTAAAAAAGTTTCATAACAAAGTTTATAAAGTAGATTTTTAAAAATATTTTTTATTTAAAAAATATAATACTAAAATTAATTATTAAAGTTTTATTACAAAAATTAATTTTTTAAAAAATGCTGTAAGCAAATTTGCATGCAATACAATTTAAAGAATAATAAATCAGACTATTATATATAAATTACTATTATAACTAAATATCTAAAGTTATAAATTAGAGATTTTAATTTAATTTATTTATACTCTTTATTATCAAAACTATTCTTAAACTCTAATCTAATTATTAAAAAAAATACTAAAAAAGTATATTCAAAAATTTTTTAATTTTATATTAAAATAATTAAAATTTAAGTTTTTTAAAAAAAATTAAAAATGATAATTTAAACAATAATATTTACAGTTTATTTTTTTTAATATTTGTTCTTATTTAACCAAGTTTTTAAAAACTATATACAATATATTAGGGTAGAATAATGGTGGTTTTTTTTCTGTTATTTATCTATTATTCACCCTTTATTCATTTATTCAACCTGTGTATGTATTATCTTTATTGATAATTAACAGCTTTTTTAATTTACTTATACTATTTATCTTTATTAAATATATATTAGTTATAAAGTAATTCTGTTATTAAAGAATTTTTTTTGGTATTAAGATGAGGTTTTGTCTTTATCTTTATTAATAATTAGTTATAAGCAACTACATAAGTTGATACAAGCTAAAACCAATTTACAAATTTTTTATAAGAATAAGACTCAGACTATAGATGAAATTATTATTTAATTTATCTAATTTATCTGCAATCTAAATCTACTAAAGTAGTTAAAGCTCACCTAGATTTAATAATATAAAATATAATTAGTAGAACTACTGTTATTTATCTATTCAGATAATTATTTAGTTAGTTTTTTATTAGCTTTTTCTAGTGACAGCAAATATAAAAATTATAAAAATCTTCTGTATATTATTGATCTAAAAGACCACAAGTGCAACTGTAGGTATATACTATTCTAGCTTGTATTAATAATCTAGATATATTTATATAGTTTGTTTATTAATTATAAAATAGTTGATTGAGAATATTGTTTTGTTGCTTCAATTCAGATAGTTTAATATAGTAGGGTTTTCAAAATTGGTTGTAAATGTTTTGAGATAACTGAATTAAAAATTTTATTGTAATATTAGTTGCTAGCTGATTGCTAATTGTATATTCTTGTATAGTATTTTTTATTTTTATTTTTATTTTTTTAAGATAAGGTTTTGCTTTTATCTTTATTATAATTTGTATTAAGAATTCACAAGG